GAGGAAACCCCACACTGATTTCCATATTTGATAGGTTAATCTATTCTTTCACAGTCTGACAGTTTATGTTCTTTTTCCTCCACTCCTCTGCTAGGACATGTTATTACTTTGATTTACTCAATTTTACATGGGTAGAATGGTCTTCTGGTGTAGGTTTGGTTTCCAGTTCTCTATTAGCTACAGAGTTGAAAATTTTCCTGTTAATATTACTTGTAGAAACTCCTAATTTTGCTAAAGTCTTGTCTTTGGTCATAATTGAGCTACTGCATACTGTTTGATTGGCACAATCTAGGGTACCTAATTAGTACTAAGTAAGTAATATGTTTAGAAGCTTCTGATCCACATAATTTCCACCACCGTCACATCCACCTGCAACATCACTATCATTGTCATTAATACAAGAGTCATTATCATAACCATTGTAAGCTAGCACTGCCAACCTCCACTACCATTGCCACCCTCTCTAATATTACCCCACCAAGAGCAACATATCCTTGTCCATCATCATTTCCATGTCCATTACTTCAAGTACCACCAACAACTTCAAAAAAACTAAGTAAAATATTGGTAATTGCCCAAATGTGTGGGCAAGGAATTCTGGCCAAGAAATGTGATTATTGTTTTTTTCATATGTTAATATAGAATCTTCAGTTTTTTCCAAGACTTTTTCTAGTGGCATAGATTACATTACATTAAAATATTAAATGAAATGAAGAACTAGAAAAATTAGAACTTCATGTTCAGGCCTGTCATATGACTAATACAAATCCTTAAATGTTTAGATAAAACCATGAAGTTTGAATTCAGGGTTATCTACTTTAAAGGATAATAAAACTAAGAGAAGCAAATGTTTAGCTCAATGGTAGATGACATCTAGAAAGGACTTATATGTGTGTATTCATGTCTGTGCACACATCTGTTCCATGTCTCTGGTCTTGAAGGTTCACACTTGAGAAAGTGTGCTGTGCTCCCTGTTCATATGTGACTGCTCTTCATGGAGCTTCTGTGGAAGGAACTCCCTTCAGTGTCTGAGCCTGGTATGAGATTCAGCTGCTCTAACTCTCATGTCAGTGCTTCAGGAATTAGTAGCTGCTATTTTGAAAATATTGTAATTAACATATATTATTGTAAAAAGTGAATGGTTTCATCATTTCATTAAATATTTAAATATTTGCAAAGAGATTATATTTGCATTCATCTATTGCATCAACAGAGGAAAGCAAACATGATATTTGTCTTGCAAACTTTCGCATGTCCTTCAAAATGATACCTTCTTCAAAATGTCATCTTTATTAATTCTTGGAAAAGTTTATCCAATGCATTTCAGTGATCCTCACTCAGAGGCTTAGCAACATTTGTCATCCATCCCCTGTGCCTCTCCTTCTACTCCCACCCACATTTGCACCCAGCTTTGATATATTTTCTATTGCTTCTCCTTAATGACATCATTGAATTTTGTGTAGTCCAGCTACTCCAGACAATGGGGCCTACCCTGGAGTGTGGTTAACATAGCAAGGATTACGTGGAAGAAAACTGCCATTCCTTCTCTCAGAAGCTCTCAGCTGCTAATAGCACCTCAGCGAGTGGGATTTCATACTTCCCTTCTCTTTCATGATGAGTTTTGGTCTGGTTTGAGTTTTCACACGACTGTGCATGCTGTGTCAATTGTTATGAGTTCAAACGTTTAATGTCCTGATTACATGAAGAAAACAGTTTCTACCTGTAGTTCTTATACCCCTTCTGCCAACTCCCCTGTGAGGGTAAGGCTGAGAAAACACTAGTTTCTTACTCTCAGCACCATTTATCAGTTGTAGGTCTCTTTGTTAATTATATAGTGTGAGGAGAAGCTTCTCAGATGAGAAATGAGAGATATATTGGTATGAGAACAGGAATAAATCATTAGGAATTGCTGTGTTGCTTTATTAAGTTTTGAAGGGTAGACAAGTTACAGGCAATAGTCTGTAAGCTAGTGGAGTCAGACTATTGCTTTCACTGTCTAGAAACTAAAAAGAGGGAAGGTGTTACTGCTACTGAGGTTTGCACTTTCTAGTATGAGTTATCTACTTGTGGCAATGCATCCCTTTATGTTGTAAGGTAACTGCATTAAACATTTTTTATATGCATATATTCTAGCAAGCCTTTAGAATAGTAGATTTCCATATGGCTTTTTCAAAAGCTCTTTTATGTTAATCATCTCTCTATGCCCTGATCTACCCTGCTCTCTCGTGTCCTATCACAATGTAAATCATCCCTTTGCATTATTTCCCTTTATCCCTTTGTACCTTCTGAGTGGGCTATATTCATAGGAAGAACCTCTGGTTAAAAGACCCTGTGTTATACTGACATCCCAGGTCAGTGTGCAATTTTGTAATTGTGATGACTGAAGGCAGACATTGCCTAAGATCATCCTTTACATGTGATATGCAAACATGGAGAGTACTGAGTCTCCTACTGACCTGGCCTTATGGTATGTGTCCTAACCTTTATGAGCCATCCACTGGCGGTGTGTTTCTTGGCACCTGGCCTCAGAACTAACGACTCTTTCCCTTCAGGGACATGGAAAAGGGCATCCTCAGCTAAATTGTTCCTCACTCTGGAAGGCGCTGACAGTCACAGGAAGCTGACATGCCCTACTGAGTTTGATTCAGTACCCGTGTGCTTCTCAGGGCAGTGTTGGTACTAATTAATGGCTCTGTTTCATGTTCCCCATTCTATTCTTTCTTCTCCAATCACAAAGAACTTCCCAGAACTAAAGAAATTATTTTTTCTCTTTTATTAACTGTTTCCCCTTCCTTCTTAGGAGGTTCTATGTTCTTGAATTCTGGGTTTGTTTTATAGCCTAGTCAACTTCCTAGGACATCTCAAGTAATAGTGATTGCAGCAGTTACTGTCATCACTGAGACTGCCCAGTATTTTAGAACTTAAACTTCAGACTACCTTTCTTGAAGATCATGTTTCTGTAAGATCACTTACTATTTCCTTTGAAGGAAAGATGTTTTATTACAATAAATGTGAAGAAAAGTTTTGTTTTCTAGGTTAATAAAACAAAAGGATGACATAAACGGGAAATTCAGGAAGTCTGGAGGAGGAGTTGAAATTGAGGAAGAGTTCTGATGTTTCATAAACTTGACATTCTTTCTCTGTGGGGATCATGTCTTGTGAGAATTGTTGCATAGTGTCTTTCAGATTCAAGATTTAGCCTTGACAGCCTCCTCCTGTGTGCCAACACACAGAGTGCTCAGAGCATCGTCTACTCTCAAGTTGCTCTGAGCCTTGACTTTCTCCAATGTTCCCAGAGCCTTGGACTCCCTCAAATGTTCAAAAGACATTTAAGTCAATCAATCACTAAACAAACACCCAATTTTTAGTTCCTTCTGTTAGTTTTCATGAGGCAATGAATTAGTAATATACATTAGAAAATGAGTAAGTGATAAATGTAGCTATGTGGCAGATAAAAATGTGAGTTTGCTGCTTTTTTGTTTTGTCTGTGTCTGTCTTCTGTCTATCTATGTGCATGTACAAGAATGAGCACCTGTGCTATATATAAAGAAGTTAGTATACTGTATGTTTTGGGAGATCCCAGAGTTCCAGTTGGTGTGTACCACAGCCAAGGTGGACTCAACAGGTCTTCACACAAGAGAAGTGTGGGAGATTATGAGTCTTCATGCTGACCACCTAAGCAAGAACATGCTTAAGGTAGGTGTTACGGTAGGTATGATTTTATTTCCTTTATCTTCATGATAAGCAGCCTTATGAAAATTATTAGAGGGGATTCTAAGCATATACACCAAATATGTCATTGGAGATGGCAGTTCTGACGAGGGTGGGGATAAGGTTCAAGCCCAGCAATCTCCTTTATGAAGAGCATAATTGATTTTCTATGGTTACAGAAGACTTAAATCTATGCAGCAGACAACACCTGTCTCCAAAACAGGTTTATCAAAGATGAAGCTGGAAAGCACAGCTGATGTCCCCTTTAATTTTGTCCTTCTTTCAGCACACACGCAAATTTTGCCTAAAAGCAGGAATATAAATGGGCCAGTGCACCAAAGATTATCAGTGAGCTGAGATAGAACAAACAGGACACAAGAGAGATGTAACAGCGAAAAGAAATACTGTCTTCAATCAAGAAAGACAACTTAGACAACCAGGGAACTCTGGCTGAAACCAAAGAGACAGGAGGGCCCACTGAGTCACAGCACTCTACAGTGATGACGTCCAGACACAGGATATTTCACATGATGTAGAGTCCCAGTCAAGAGAGTCAAGCATGTATTTGCATTTTGTTTGGGAAATTCTTGGACCTGCCCCTGTCAGTCAGCTCTACTCCCTCTGGGCGGGGCAGTCAGCACTATAAAGAGGTCCTTGGATGCATGACTGCAGACTCCTTGTACTCAAGTCCTAGACTACTTTGGAGACCTGGTGAGTGTTATATCTTGAGTTGGTCTTTCTTATGATCTCCTTATATGCTTCAGTCAAGTTTTAGGGTCTGTGTGTGATGTTTTTTTCCTTTTTTTTAGTATGCAATTGAACACAGTGTATTTCTCTTTCATGTGCATCTTTGGTGTTTATTCGTAGTCCTATGACGTAGCAGGTATTAGGACCTGGTTTTCCCGAGCTGTTCTTTACTCTGTCACCCAGACAACCTGCTGGGATGTCACAGTGACAGGAGAGTCAGGGATTTGTTCTGAGGGTGCTCAGGGCATCAGTTCTTGAGACTTCCTGTATTGAAGATGTTTCTCTGTGAAACACTTTTGTTTCCTTGGAACAGATATTTTCTCCTGGAAAAAAGCATCAAACAATGGGGAGTTCCCAAGGCTACTACCACAGATTGCTGACAGGAAAGGGGAAAGTGAGCATATCCTAAAACAGGACTTGGGGAGATGTGAATGTGTGGGGAGGAAATGGTTGTGACGCTCCATGTTCCACCTCTCTTCTCTGTGATGATCATCCCCTAACACTGTCATGTAATGTCTTTCAGATCCTGAGCTTTCAGCACAATGTCTTACCAAGAGCAGCAGTGCAAACAGCCCTGCCAGCCTCCTCCTGTGTGCCCACCCACAAAGTGCCCAGAGCCTTGTCCTCCCCCAAAATGCCCAGAACCTTGTCCTACCCCAAAGTGCCCTGAGCCTTGTCCTCCCTCAAAGTGCCCAGAGCCATGTCCCCCTCAGCCATGCCAGCAAAAATGCCCTCCTGTGCAACCTCCTTCACCCTGCCAGCAGAAGTGCCCACCCAAGAACAAGTGAGTGCTTTAACAGTCATCAGGATCAAGAGAAGAGGTGTGAATTTGTCTTTCATACTTCCACAGTAACACTTCCAACGCACTTCAAAGCCTGTCATGGATGCAAGAGAATCTTGTCCACCCTTCTCTCTTAATGTTTCTGCAAAGGATTTCCCCTGAGGTTGATCTGTTTCTGCTGTCAAGGGGCAGCTGAGCATGGTCCTTCCTCACTGGTTCAGTGTTCCAGATGCTCAGTGATGAGCAGCATCTTCCCACCCTGTGCACTCAGAGGATGTTTCCAGAACTCCCAGTTTCGTTGCTTGTGTGGTTGTCACTGTGGCTTCATTTCCTGAATAAAGTACAATATGGCTGTTTGTACTCATTAGTTTTTTTTCGTCTAAAACTGACTCTATGACCTTACTGATATGCTCCTGTTATTGCTTTTTATCATTAATGCCCGGGTCATCCCATTGTAATCAGATGTTGACTGGATTTTGGGCAATAACATAGATTTCTTAGTGTTGGTTTGCTTGAGAGACAGAGTTTCCTTTTGTACAACTACAAGCTGTTTGTTAGCACATGTTATTTTAAGGCGATTATGTGGTATTCAGATATGCATGTGGCACTTAGCCCAAATATCCCCCCCCCATACTCCATGTGTTTTCCCCTCACTTCCCCTTTGTCATCAACCTATCCTTGTTATCTTTTCCTTCTTCAATATTTGAAACATCCTCCCCTTCTCACTTTTCTCTCCCCATCTCCCCTTACCCCCCATCCACCTCACCCCCAAGATCCCAATTTTTTTGCCTGGCAATCTTGTCTGCTTCCCATAACCAGGAGGATAGCTATATGTTTTTCTTTGGGTTCACCTTCTTATTTAGCTTCTTTAGGATATCAAATTATAGACTCACTGACCTTTATTTATGGCTAGAAACCAATTATGAGTGAGAACATCCCATGCTCATCTTTTTGGGTCTGGGTTACCTCACTCAGGATAGTGTTTTCTATTTCCATCCATTTGCATGCAAAATTCACGAAGTCATTGTTTTTTTACCGCCGAGTAGTACTCTAATGTGTATATATTCCACACTTCCTTCATCCATTCTTCCATTGAAGGACATTTAGGTTGTTTCCAGGTTCTGGCTATTACAAATAATGCTGCTATGAACATAGTTGAACAAATGCCCTTGTCATATGATCAGGCATCTCTTGGGTATATTCCCAGGAGTGGCATTGCTGGGTCCAGGGGTAGGTTGATCCCGAATTTCCTGAGAAACCGAAACACTGACTTCCACAGTGGTTGCACAAGTTTGCATTCCCACCAGCAATGGATGAGGGTACCCCTTCCTCCACAACCTCTCCAGCAAAGGCTATCATTGGTGTTTTTGATTTTAGCCATTCTGACAGGTGTGAGATGATATCTCAAATTTGTTTTGATTTGTATTTCCCCGATCGCTAAGGAGGTTGAGCATGACCTTAAGTGTCTTTTGGCCATTTGAACTTCTTCTGTTGAAAATTCTTTGCTCAGTTCAGTGCCCCATTTTTTAATTGGGTTAATTAGCATTTTAAAGTATAGTTTCTTGAGTTCTTTATATATTTTGGAGATCAGACCTTTGTCTGTTGCGGGGTTGGTGAAGATCTTCTCCCAGTCAATCGGTTGCCTTTTTGTTTTAGTGACAGTGTCCTTTGCTTTACAGAAGCTTCTCAGTTTCAGTAGGTCCCATTTATTCAATGTTTCCCTTAATGTCTTTGCTGCTGGGGTTATACCTAGGAAGTGATCTCCTGTGCCCATATGTTGTAGTGTACTTCCCACTTTCTCTTCTATCAGGTTCAGTGTGTTCAGATTGATATTGAGGTCTTTGGTCCATTTGGACTTGAGTTTTGTGCATGGTGATAGTTATGGGTCTATTTTCATTCTTCTACAGGTTGACATCCAGTTGTGCCAGGGCCATTTGTTGAAGATGCTTTCTTTCTTCCATTGTATACTTTTAGCTCGTTTATCGAAAATGAGGTGTTCATAGGTTTGTGGGTTAAAATCCGGGTCTTCTATACTATTCCATTGGTTGACTTCTCTGTTTTTATGCCATTACCACACTGTTTTCATTACTGTAGCTCTGTAATAGAGATTGAAGTCAGGGATGGTAATGCCTCCAGAAGATCCTTTATTGTATAGGATTGTTTTGGCTATCCTGGGGTTTTTGTTTTTCCATATAAAGTTGATTATTGTCCTCTCAAGATCTGTGAAGAATTTTGATGGGATCTTGATGGGGATTGCACTAAATGTATAAATTGCCTTTGGTAGAATTGCCATTTTTACTATGTTGATCCTCCCAATCCAAAAGCAAGGGAGGTCCATCCATTTTTTGGTATCCTCTTCAATTTCTTTCTTCAATGCCTTAAAGTTCTTGTCAAATTGATCTTTCACTTCCTTGGTTAGATTTTCCCCCAGATATTTTATGCTGTTTGTGGCTATCGTGAATGGTGAAGCTTCTCTGATTTCCCTCTCTGCTTCCATATCCTTTGTGTATAAGAGGGCGACTGATTTTTTGAGTTGATCTTGTATCCTGCCACATTACTAAAGCTGTTTATCAGCTGTAAAAGTTCTTTGGTGGAGTTTTGGGGGTCGCTTATGTACACTATCATATCATCTGCAAATAACGAAAGTTTAACTTCTTCCTTTCCAATTCAAATCCCCTTGATCCCCTTAATCCCCTTATGTTGTCTTATTGCTATTGCTAGAACTTCAAGTACTATATTGAAGAGGTATGGCGAGAGTGGACAGCCTTGTCGTGTTCCTGAGTTTAGTGGGATGGCTTTAAGTTTCTCTCCGTTTAATTTGATGTTACCTGTCGGCTTGCTGTAAATAGCTTTTATTATATTTAGGTATGACCCTTGTATCCCTATTCTCTCCAAGACTTTTATCATAAAGGGATGTTGAATTTTGTCAAATGCTTTTTCAGCATCTAATGAAATGATCATATGGTTTTTTTCTTTCAGTTTATATATATGATGGATTACATTGATAGATTTGCGTATGTTCAACCAGCCCTGCATTTCTGGGATGAAGCCTACTTGATCATAATGGATAATTTTTCTAATGTGTTCTTGGATATGGTTTGCCAGTATTGTGTTGAGGATTTTTGCATCGATGTTCATGAGTGAGATTGGCCTGTAATTCTCTTTCTTGGTTGAGTCTTTGTGTGGTTTTGGTATCAGAGTGACTGTAGCTTCATAAAAGGAATTTGGCAATGACTCTTCTGTTTCTATATTGTGAAATACATTAAGGCGTATAGGTATTAGGTCTTCTTGGAAGTTCTGGTAGAATTCCGCATTGAAACCATCTGGTCCTGGGCTTTTTTTTGGTAGGGAGGTTTTTGATAACAGCTTCTAATTCTTTGCGACTAACAGGTCTATTTAGATTGTTTACCTGGTCCTGGTTTAACTTTGGTATATGGTATTTATCTAAAAACGTGTCCATTTCTTTTACATTTTCCAGTTTTGTGGCATACAGGCTTTTGTAGTAAGATCTAATGATTCTTTGAATTTCCTCTGTGTCTGTGGTTATGTCCTCCTTTTCATTTCTGATCTTATTAATTTGCGTATTCTCTCTCTGCCGTTTGATTAGTTTGGATAGGGGTTTATCAATCTTCTTGATTTTCTCCAGGAGCCAGCTTTTTTGTTTCATTGATTCTTTGCTTTGTTTTCTGTGTTTCTATTTTGTTGATTTCAGCCCTCAGTTTGATTATTTCCAGTCTTCTACTTCTCCTAGGTGAGTCTGCTTCTTTTTTTTCTAGAGCTTTCAGGTAGGCTGCTAAGTCTCCAATATGTGCTTTCTCTGTTTTCTTTAAGTGGGCACTTAGTGCTATGAACTTTCCTCTTAGGACTGCTTTCATGGTGTCCCATAAGTTCGAGTATGTTGTTTCTTTATTTTCATTGAATTCCAGGAAGACTTTAATTTCTTTCTTAATTTCTTCCTTGATCCAGATGTGGTTCAGTAGTTGACTGTTCAGTTTCCATGAGTTTGTAGGCTTTCTGAGGAAGTGATAATTTAGAAGCTACTGATGCACATTTTTCACAGCCCTCACTATCAAACCACTTCCATCTGCAATATCCACATCCCCAGAACCAATATGACCATCATTATTATAACCACTATAAGTTATCAACCAGCTACCTCTGCCTCCCTTCACTATCGTTGCCAGCTTGTCTATTATTACCCAACTAAGAGACCGTGTTCATCACCATTTTAATGTCTATTATCTCCAGAATCACCAACATTATATAAAAAACAATAAAATATTGATAACTTTAGAAGTATGTGGGAAGTACATCCCAGCCTAAGAATTTGAGACCTGCACGGATCCTCCTGTTGCTTGTTATTATTTCTTTTACTTGTTAATATAGAATCTTGACTTTTCAGGGACTTTTTTAATGGCTCAGATTATATCCTAGTAAATATTAAATCAAATGAAGAAATAGAAAAATGTTAGAACTTCATGTTCAGGCCTGTCATTTGATTCATAAAATCCCATAGAAAATTAGGATAAAAATATGCAGGTTGAACTCAGAGTCATTTGACCTTAAAAGATTATAAAACTAAGAGAACCAAACATGAAACTCAATGATAGATGACTCCTAAAAGGACAATTGTGTGTGTATCCGTGTCTGTGCACACATCTTCCTTGTCTCTGGTCTTGAAGGTTCACACTTGAGAACCAGCACTGCGTGCCCTGTTCATCTGTGACTGCTCGTCATGGAGCTTCTGTGGAAGGAAAGCCTGGCCTGAGTTTCAGCTGGTGCCAAATTGGCATTGTAAGAAGCCTCTGTTTTAAAAATAATATAATTCACCTATACATTGTAAAAGGTGAAAGATTTCATCATGCTATTAAATAATTGTTGATAGAGAGTCATCACCCTGATCCACTGTACTCACATAGAACAAACACTTAATATTTTTTTTTACATTTTAAATGCATATTTTATTTTTAAAAATGAAAACAAACTTTTTTTTTTCATTTTATACCA